AGAATTGGTTATATAATTTGAATTTATATTCAATTTTTTGCTTTTGTGCAATCCACTATGCTGTTGCGAATTGACCCCCTCAAAACAAAAACTAAATTTTTTTTACCCCCCCCCCCTTTTTTTTTGCAAAAAAAAAATATATATGAAGAAAATTTTCTTTTTAATTTCTGAAATCTGAAATGAGAAAAAATTGTCCCCCCCTCACATATTTCTTCCCCCCCCCCCCCCACCCCCTTTTTCCTAAAAAAAAATTCTTTTTCCCTCAAGATATATGGTCATAATCTCAATTCAAATTTCCAATGGAGTTTGCAACCATAATTACCCATTTAAATACATCATAAAAGTCTTAAAATAGAAAATGACATACATAATCATGGCTAAAATTAATATTCCTTAATCAGCATTTTTAAATAGTAACTTCTAAAAATAAATTGACAGCTAATCACCTCAAGACAATACAACGTTTCTTTATACATAATTTAAAAGCAGTGTAAGTGAGGTAATCCAAACTTAACATTGTACTTTTTTTTAATTGTCCATTAACCAGGAAACCCTTGTTTCCCCCCTTTTTTGCCCCTAATTCCTAAACGGTTTGAGCCATAACTCCCCAAAGCCAATCCTAACCATCCCTTTGTGGTATGGAAACTTGTGGTATAATTTCAGAGAGATCCATATACTGTTCCGCAAGTTATTGTCTGGAAACTAGAAAAATGCTTATTTGGGCCCCTTTTTGGCCCCTAATTCCTAAACTGTTAGGACTATAACCCCCAAAATCAATCCCAACCTTCCTTTTGTGGTTATAAACCTTGTGTTTAAATTTCATAGATTTCTATATACATTTACTAAAGTTATTGTCTGGAAACCAAATGTCTTCAGACGACGCTGAAGACTACGACGACGTGATACCAATATACAACCGCAAAATTTTTTTTGCGGTTGTATAAAAATGAAAAAAAAATGGTAAAATTTGTCATTTAAGGGCAATAACTCCTTTAAGGTGGTACCAAACACCTTGACTAAAATTAATTTGGCTCGTTTAATTTTCATTAAATTTTGACAAAAATATAAAAATTTCAAAAACTTGAACCACATAATTTATCGGAAAAATTTCATTGGATATATAGCAGTTTGGCAAACACTAATTTTGATCATTGAGAAGCTTAATATTCAATAGAACGTGATTAAAACGTTCAGCTGATTTTTACAGAGTTATCTCCCTGTAGTGTTATGTACCACCTTAAGAAGTCGTTTGACAGTTTTGACCTATAATAATAATAGGTAGAGCTCAACATTCTGAACATTTGTGCTCTTGTCAGATTTTCTCTATTTAAAACCGTTTTCAAAATAATAGACAAAACTTGCATTTTACCCCTATGTTCTATTTTTAGCCATGCCGGCCATATTGGTTGGCAGGCTGGGTCATTGGAAACATTTTTCAAACAAGATACCCAAATGATTATTGTGGCCAAGTTTGGTTAAATTTGGCTGAACAGTTTCAAAGGGGAACATTTTTGTAAAAGTTAACATTTGATGACAACGATGGACAATGACAGACGCCAAGTAATGAGAAAGGCTCACTTCGCCCATTTGGCTAGGTGAGCTAACAAGGAGATGTGCTTCTTTAGCAGGGGCGGATTCAGGCGGGGGCATGGCGGGCGTGCGCCCCCCTAAAATTTGCAAAGCATGGGTTGTCCTCAGCTTAATAAAGAATATTTCGATAATTTTACCTAAAAAAAATTTAAGTTTGCGCGCCCCCCCCCCATCCCACACCTAACCTTAAATCCTGGATCCGCCTCTGTTTACACCTAAAACTTAGTTTGCATATTTACCAATTCTTACAATAAAACTGATAACATTCACTAATCTGCATGTCATGTCTTGTATGTCTAATGAATGTGTGACTGAATGAGTGAGTGGGCAGATGGATAAATGTGTGGGATAGTGATTGGGTGGATGGATGGAGGGAGATAAATACTGTAAATCCAGAAATTATTTCGTGCATTTATCATCAAGAATGGACAAAAATGCGAGATTAATTATTGCGATTGCTGGAAAATATGCATAAGTTCTTAAAATTGCAATACTCAGTCCCATTATTCGCAAAAATGAAAACCTCGCAAAAATTTCTGGATTTACAGTAGATTAATAAAACAGTTACATTCACATGGAACACATACCTCTCCATCTATTTCATCTTGTAGTTAAAAACACAAAAAGTGATATTCTACTGTTTTATAGAATCTTTTTGCTATCCAAGAAATGCAAAGAAGGATATGCTTGTCTTTTCTGACAGAAACACCAAAAAGAACAACAAAGAAACAGTTCTATTTTACCAGTACTGCAACTTTCTAAATCCCTATCACACAGTTAGTACAGTGCTGTTTGCATACAAAATATTTGAGCAGGATACAGCTTTCACTTATAACATTCTACAGTTTGTTTCTTTTAATGGTATGTCAAGAGGAAGGCAAAGGCATATCAATCTCAGACTTATATTTTGAATGAAGTAGATAATATAGAGCCTTTTCCAGTGGGTATCTGTAATCCATTTGTAACATCAATAAAACAAGAGTTAATGCACCTGCTTTAATTATCATGATTGAATTTCTGTTGAAGGTCTGTACTAATATGATTGATTGATTGTTGGTTGCTTACATCCAGTGGCAAATATTTCATGCATTTTCAGGACTTGTCTGTAATATGAAGGTTTTACTAAAAGTATCACATAAACTTAACTTTATCAATGATCCAATTAACTGAGGTCAAGGTCAGATGAACCTTGCCGGACAGACATGTAAACTTTACAATCATACTATACACCAAACATAGTTAGCCTATTGCTTAAAGTATCTGAGAAACAGACCTACCAGTAATGACAAATACTGCACATTGACCAATAAACCATAAAAATGAGGTCAAGGTCAGGTGAACCCTGCCAGACAACACGTGCACCATGCAATCATTCCATACAACAAATATAATTGACATATGGCTTATAGTATCTGAGAAACAGACTGAACCATGAAAATGAAGACAAAGTCAGATTAACCCTGGCAGATAGACATGTACACTTTACAATCATTCTATACACCAAATACAGTAGACCTATTGATAATAGTATTCGATGAATGGACAAAACTATGAAAACTTAACATTGACCAATAAACCATGAAAATGAGGTCAAAGCCAGATGAAAACTGAAAGACAGACATGTACCATACAATCATTTCGTTCACTAAATATAATAACCCTGGACAGACAAATGGATCACTATATTCACTAATTTGTTGAGAGAAGTTTAAAAAAAAACATCAAAGGTATCTTATTACTTTAGCTAATTTCAACAATTATGTACATTTCAGGCAAATCCATCCAATCATACTCAAGTTATGGGATAGCATGTGAAAAATTTACTCTGGAATGACAAATGAGAAAATTTTCAAAATTAAAAGGGAGCTTTCTGTTATCAATCTTAATGGAATAACAACAGTGTCAAGTTTTGAGGAGATCAGTATAAGCATACTGGAGTAGGTGGTTCTGAGGAAATCAGTATAAGCATACTGGAGTAGGTGGTTCTGAGGAAATCAGTATAAGCATACTGGAGTAGGTGGTTCTGAGGAAATCAGTATAAGCATACTGGAGTAGGTGGTTCTAAGGAGATCAGTATAAGCATACTGGAGTAGGTGGTTTTGAGGAAATCAGTATAAGCATACTGGAGTAGGTGGTTCTGAGGAAATCAGTATAAGCATACTGGAGTAAGTGGTTCTGAGGAAATCAGTATAAGCATACTGGAGTAGGTGGTTCTGAGGAGATCAGTATAAGCATACTGGAGTAGGTGGTTCTGAGGAAATCAGTATAAGCATACTGGAATAGGTGGTTCTGAGGAAATCAGTATAAGCATACTGGAGTAGGTGGTTCTGAGGAGATCAGTATAAGCATACTGGAGTAGGTGGTTTTGAGGAGATCAGTATAAGCATACTGGAGTAGGTGGTTCTGAGGAGATCAGTATAAGCATACTGGAGTAGGTGGTTCTGAGGAGATCAGTATAAGCATACTGGAGTAGGTGGTTTTGAGGAGATCAGTATAAGCATACTGGAGTAGGTGGTTCTGAGGAGATCAGTATAAGCATACTGGAGTAGGTGGTTCTGAGGAAATCAGTATAAGCATACTGGAATAGGTGGTTCTGAGGAAATCAGTATAAGCATACTCGAGTAGGTGGTGCACAATTTGTCAAAAATGTGTAATTTTTCATAAATAAAATCCCATTACTCTGGAATTACAAAAGTGAAAATCATGAAAATTGAAATGAGCTCTTAGATCAAATCTAGCACTGTGATAAAATTTCAGGAAGAAGTACATTTTTTGTACCACAACAAAGTTGAGTTATTGTGCAACATTTTAGAAAATCATGTCAAATTTCAGATGAATAAAGTCCCCATAACTTTGTTATGACATAATTGGAAATAGTCCTCAAATCGAAAGGGAACTTGCTTCTGTCAATACTAATGTTTTGTTAAAATTTCATGGGAATTGTCAAAAGCTCATTTAAGTAATCGTACAAAGTGTTGACATATGGATGAATGGGTGAATGGACAGACTATGGTATAAAATATTACATCCTTTCTAAGACAGGCCTATCAAAATAGTGAAGATTCCATATTCTAAAACCCTCCAAACAAATTTGTCTGCCTTAGGGAATTTCCTTTAGCTATTTATTCAAAACAAAAATATAATTTGTCAACTGCCAGTTTACTGCAATATCTAATACATGATCTGTGTTCCTATCAACATCACAGGTACAAGACCAGTTTTTTGTTCATATATACATATATAAAAAAAAAATTGTCTCATACCTGTGATCAACATATGTCTATTGTTACAGAGAACAATTCAATGGGAGTCAGTTAAAAGCAATATTTATAGTACAAGGCCACACAGTGAGCCTCAGATTGAGGCTTGGGGTGGGTCAATAAACATTTTAAAAAATTGAATTACATGTATATATCCTAATATTTTAATAAATAATTATCAAAAGGTATAATAACTGATACAAGATATAAGTTGCTGTATATCATAACATAAATAAATTCACCTACATCTTGTTTGGTCAAAAATGGTATTTTTACAATGAATAGCCAATCAGGAACATATATATTGACGTTAGATATACTGTTCCCAGAGCCAATGAAATAAATCTGAAACAACCCATTTCATAATGTGTAAACAACCTTTTTTTCTGTACAAAACAATGCAATCAAGTAACAAGAATAAATTGCATAAACTTTAAATAAATAAATTCAAAATCTCAAATTTCTCAAAAGCATAAAATATAAATGCATAATAAACAAGATTAAAAAGTACACAATAAAAAAGACGGGATATGGGCTATCCATCAGTGACACAAAATCAATACATGCACAACAAAAAAAAAAAGAGCAAAGTAACAGCGCTTTTATTGCTGTTCTACATCTCAAAGTCACATTGAGTACTTCAACACAGAGCAAAAACTCTCACCCAGTGCAAGTTTAAGACAGCCCCTAGCACCTGTTTGAGCAGACTTCAATGTATGTAATCAATAATAAATGAGTGTATGTATATTTATACAAGTACATGTATGTAAATATTACTTAATTTATTTGAAATGATTGGATGTGGTTCAATTAGCTATTTAATTTTGTTGAAATTCTATTAAAAAAAGATAAATAATTCTGCGGATAATTAAAATAACCATCCAGATTTATTAATCACTTATGAGTCAAAGTTACACAAAATCAGATTGAAATATAAATGTAGTATCCATGCTTCGTATACAAGGATCTAACAATGATTTGTTGCACTAATTATGTCAATCATTGAAAATCTCTTTAAATTTATTAAAGTATACCATCATTATAATGTTCCAACTAGAAGAACAAATAGTCCTTCCACCTATACATGTATATACTAAATATATATATAACATTTCTCAAGTTTAGCCTTTAGGTCTAAAAATAGTTAACATTAAAGATATTCTCTAAGTGGACTCTTAATTATAATATTCAACCACAATGTTTATCTTCAATAAAAATAATTTGTTAATTGATATTTGTGCTCAAGCAATACAATGGAACCTTTTTAGAAGCAGAATCCATTTTTATGTTATGTTTTACTGATTTCATTAGTGTCATCATTGTAAGTGGGTTACATTGTAAATGTATTTCTATTTAATGTTCTACAAACCTATAAATATTCATTTTTTGAAAGATTACATTTTAAAATAATTTCAAATAATACTTTTATTCTCATTATTTTCATTAAACCTTTGACTTCAAATAAATGTTTAATACCTTTCCTTCTGGAAGAATTTTTAATATAATACCGTATGATTCTTTAATAACTGTGTGAACACTTATTTAGATTTTGAAAAAAATGTAACAGGCCGATTATTATGCAACATCAGTTAAAAATAAAAATCAAAGTGTACCAAACGAGATTCCATTCATGCCATTTTAACAAAATATATATAATAATAATGACTTCCAGTTTAACCAAAATAACACAGCTGTCATGGCAAATTAAATCAAGAATGTGTCATAGTTGTTAGACATGATACATGCATATGCAGCAAAACATGAGTGGAAATTTTTTATAAAAACACTTCAGAAGTTTTGAAATCATTTAACCTGTTTTCTTTGACAGATTTCACAGTCATGTCTGGATTTGCATTTGTTTCTGTGTTCATTCCTTTAGATTCTTCATCATCAGAATCTTCTGAAATTGACAAATTCCTAAATTTTCCATTTGGAATTTTATGTTTAGCTATTGATGGCACCTGCTTATTCATTGCTTTTATTGCAATGTTATTTGGAATACATTCATTATCAGCACCATCATCTTTGACTAGCTGTCTAGCATTTTCAATTACACCAAGAAAACTCCTCAAACCTGGCAGAAACTGAAAGATTTGCTTCACTACTGATAAACGTCCTTTCAAAAGTCTAACTTCATTTTCTTTTTCTTGTAATTTTTCTTCAAGCTTCTGTCTTTCTTGTTCAGTGTTTTTCATTTTAATTGTCAGTTCACTGATTTTCTCATCCTTTTCTTTACGAAGCTTTTGTATTTGAGAACAGTATCTCTCTTCATTATGTTGCATTATTTCTTTGCATTCTTGGAGACTGTTTTCTAAATAGGTAGAATGCAGATGCATAGCATGCAAGTGTTTGTTAGCTTCTTGGATAGTAAGTTTACTGACCATTTTACAGGTTTAGTATAGACTGATTAAACGAAAAGTAGAGCTAATCCCATATTGAAGTTATGTTTTGTTGTACAGTTGGCAGATAGTAAAGTGAAACCATACCTAGTAAAGGGTTGAATTACCGAAATGTGTTTACTATCATAGGACCTCATCATAGCCTTGAAGTAAATTGCCTTTACTATGAAATTATTCTTTTTTTCTCTTCCTGTCAACCAAATTATGATATTTTGTATTCAAGCATGTTAATTTATAAGCGTAAAAGCTTTTTTATAATGGAATTGTTTTGTTTAAATTGTTGTTATGTTAACGAGGTTTCGTTACATCGGCGCTGATGAACACTTTACAAAAGGTGAAAACGAAACTAGAAACGGAAACAGGTGTTCTAATTTTGAACCAATGAAATGTCGTATTGCACAACCAGTAAAAAATGGTGATCCAATCATTTTTTACTTTACAAATGTATTGTGGTTATGCCTTTGGCGCCATTAGGGAAAAGAAACTAAAGGGATCAGTTGAGAGGAGATTGTGCAGCAAATTAGAAAACAATGGCCAAAGTTAACATTTGCAATGTTAGGGTACTTGACAATCCATCACCATTTTTCAACCCTTTTCAGTTTGAAATTACTTTTGAATGTCTTGAAGATCTCCCAGAGGGTAAGAAATTGATAGTACCAAACTATTGAATATTTATTAAAGGTATATTTATAAAAGGAATTTCATTGAAGTTGATAAATTTAAAATGAATATATTCAACCAAAATTCAGGCAGGGGGCAACTAAGGCGAAGAAGTCTCTTTTACAGCAGTCAAAGCTAAAATCATGATGCTCCAAGAATTCTACTATCTACTATATTATTAGTACTAATCTAGTCACTGACTTAGGCACCTGGTCAAATCGGCACCCGTTATAGTCAATTTGGCACCTGGTTAATTCGGCACCCGAGTTAGTTATATTCGCAACCCACAATTTACATTGTTTTGCATGAAAACTGTTGGACTTCGTTTTTAATGATTTTTTTTAATATTTTTTCTTGAGGTGTCAACGTATATACAGTCTTCGAATTTAGCCACAAGTCCGACAATGGCTTGTAAATTTTATTGGGGACTTGTTAATATTCTGTTGTGACTAGTCCGACTGGCTTGTGGAAAATTTTGACCTGGGGGACTAGTATATATTGTGAAATCACCAGTCCGACGTGTATTTGTATTATGTCACTGTCCGTGTACCTAAAAATCCAGTCGTTTTTAACAGACAGGACTTAATGTGGTATCCAGGTGAACTGTTCCTTTACTCTTTATAATGAGGCCGCTTAAACTTGTTGCTTACGGCATTGAAGATAAATACATTTTGTATCGGCTTCTTTGATTGGTAAATATCTAAATGTGACAAACATGGCATGATGGCGTTGTTTTTGAAGTGTGTGAAAGGTGCCCAGCTGGGAAAGCCAATTAAAAGAACGGCATCAACTGAAAACAGACATATTTCAAAACGCAAATACAATGAGGGGTTAGAGAACGTAAATTTCTCAATGTTTGGAGCAAGGACAGACCGTGGTTGTATTTACAAGAGATTGATCTAATAAATAAAGAAAACATATATATTGTGTTAAATATTGGGGACTTGTGGCTAAATTCGAAGACTGAAAGTTCTCAGATATACCGGGTATGTGTGGGTGCGTTGCTCAGTGGTTAAGACCATTGGCTACAGTACTGAAGGTCCTGGGTTCAATCCTGAATCTGGGCATTGGAAATTGGTGATTTGCACCCTCCTACACACATCTCTGCATCTGGTACCTAGACAGGAGTTTAAACTAGCATGGGTACGTTGGGGGCCTTTGTAGGTCAAATTGGCCCCTGACTTTGATCCAAGATCAATCTGTAGATATCTCTTCTGTTTTTATACGACCGCAAAAAAATTTTCGGGATCGTATGATGTCGTCGTCGTCCGAAGACACATTGGTTTCCGGACAATAACTTTAGTTGAAGTGAATGGATCTCTATGAAATTTTTTAAGAAGGTTCAATACCACAAAAGGAAGGTTGGGATTGATTATGGGGATGATGGTCCCAACCGTTTAGGAATTAGGGGCCCAAAACAAGCATTTTTCTAGTTTCAGGATAATAACTTGTGTATAAGTATTTCGATTGCTCTGAAATTGTACGACAATGTTTAATACCACAAGTAGAAGGTTGGGATTTATTTTAGGGGTTATGGGGCCAACAGTTTAGGAATTAAGGGCCAAAAACAAGCATTTTTCTAGTTTCCAGACAATAACTTGTGTGTAAGTGTATGGATCTCTCTGACATTGTACCACAAGGTTCCATATCACAAAGGGAAGGCTAGGATTGAGTTTGGAGTTACATGTTATTGCCGAAATATGTAGGAACTAGGTGCCAAAAACAAGCATTTTTCTAGTTTCCAGACAAAAACTTGTGATTAAGTGTATGGATCTCTCTGAAATTGTACTACAAGGTTCCATACTACAAAGGAAAGGCTGGGATCGAGTTTTGGGGTTATTGCTCCAAGGGGGGTTTCAAAAAGTTGGGTGGGGGGGGGGGATTTTTTTTTCCAATTTTTTTAGAGGATTCATATTTTTTTTTTTCAAAATTTTGAAAAGTTTCAAGAAGAAATCTTCAATTGCACAGTATTGAGCAATATATTTGTAAGATCTTTGACCACATTTATTTTGTGTCAGAAATCTATATTTTGTCAAAAATTTGATCACAATCCAAATTCAGACAGTATCAAGCTTGAATATTGTGTCCAAATTTGTACCAACTGTTCAGGGTTCGACCTCTGCGGTTGTATCAGGCTGGGCTCAGCGAAGCATTTTATTCTGTTTCTGCCGAGGAGCCCGGTATATACTCACTGAGTACTTTGGCTTCCTCCACCATAATAACAGACTTACCGGTGTCCAAACACTACCTTGGTTTTTTGGTTGGGGATTGTCCGTGGTTGTGAGTTGTATATAAGTCAGTGACACATCTCCATTAATCCTGATAGGGAGTGTACACAGATTCCACTGTACTCTCGCAGCTCTCTAGGGGTGCTTTGCATATCAAGAGTAATTTACATACATACATACATATTACTATAATACTAATCCTGTTGAATTTATATATTTGGTATCTTCCAAACATGACTCTCAAAGCTCTCAGAATGCAGGAATTTGCATCTCATTTTTCGAAAAATTTTGGGGGCGCTCACCATACATAGTAATTTGAGGAGACTTGTAGAATCTTATCAACCACAATTCCCCCTGGCTTGTAGGTTAAAAAGTTTATTGTGAAGACTGTATATAACTACCTGTACATTAAAATTGTTAAAACAACAAACAGTTTATTATTTGTAATTGATATTTCATAAGTTTTTAAAAGTGATGACAAATCAAAACATTATTAATAGAATATTGAGAAGACTTCAAACAGAAAGCCAAGTGATTATAGTTTATTGTGTATTCTTCCTGCTTAACCCTGTCGCCGACGAGTCCCGGTTTACCGGGATTCACGCTTCAGACAGCTGACGACGAGTCCCTTTTACCGGGATCGGAATACCTCTTTTACATTTGCCGCTCAAAACATTGCAGACACAAGTTATCTTTCTTTGTTTGAAAACCCGGATGAAAGTGTAAACATGGCGCTTCCATTTGTTGAAAACCGTGTCAAAATCAGATGAAATTTACGGAATTTACGATAATTTGAAATAAGGGAACATTTTTTTTTTTAAATATGGAAGAATTGAAGCCAGACTAGTATACTTTTTTACATAAAATGCCGTTTTATGTACAAAAACACTTGGAATGGACATCGTTCAGTGTAAGGAATTTGTACAGCATAATTGAATTTTTCAAACTTTTGCCATTTTGGGTTAAAAAATTACGATTTTGGGTCAAAAGTCGAATTTTGATAATTTCATTCAAATAATGCAGAAAATTTTCAAATTTTGAATTTGTTTGAAAAAAAAATTATCAAAACATGAACAAAACTATGTATATGTACATGGTGTTAGTGAGTAAAATAAAGACAAAAATAACAACAGACAAGCTTTTATTGATATTTATTATGAAGATCTCCCACTTGAGTCATAGTAGCCAGGGAAGCCATCGTCTCATAGTAGCTTCTGTCAGGGCAGCTATCAGTGAAAGGGTTAATACATGTGCTGAGTTTTTAATGATGTACGAAATGAACCTTTGAAATTGTAAGTTTTGCCAGGAAATATATATAAAAAAAAACGAAAAACTATTCTGAAATAATAAGGTAAGAAAAAGATAAAAAATATATTAGGTGCCAGTTGAATTATCAAATGCCGAAATGACTTTAAATAGGTGTTGATTTGACTAGGTGCAGAGTTCGCGAAAACTTATTTTGACCCGTCGGTCATGGGACCGACAAAGCATGATTATTTGTCAGTCCTACAAAATTTTAGCCAGTCCTACAAAATCTCTCAATTTTATCCTGAAAAAAAATTGATAACATATTTTATCGAAAAATAACTTTATTAATATTAGTTTTATTCTTCGCACCCACAGGCAAATTAACAATGAAAGACCAGTTCAGGTCTTCTGATTGTTCTTATTTAAAGTCATCTTCACTATCCATTTCATCATCTGAATCACTTTCTCGGCTGTTACAGTATTTGTTTGCTCCATTGTAGGGTTCAATCGCTGATTGTTTGCCAGGGATGGCTCTATGGACAAATTAAGTAGGCCACGTGTAGATCGCCGCTTTGGTTTGTTTATAATAAATCCGTAAACCAGTACCGGAAATTGGCAGCGGATACATCTGATAACCGATGTAAACACTTATTGGAAACAGTTGCGGTACATCTAATAACCGATGTAAAAAAGTGCCGAAATATGCACTACAACGGCCGTTTTTACATCGGTCATTGGGACCGGCACTAGCCTTCAAAATACTGGTCCGAGCCTCATTTTGACCGACAGGACCGACCATTTTCGTGAACTCTGTAGGTGCCGATTTGACTTGTACCCCTTGCTCCAATAATCGCTATTTTAATAAATAACAGTAAGAATCAACATTGTTGATTTTCCGTTTCAATATAAAAGCAATTTTGCTTAAATTTAAACCCCAAGTCAGATTATTTCACTGGTCCTCTAAGTTTGTAGACTGATGATGAACAGAATCCACATTTACAATGATAACTACAGACACATGCTGTATTCAGTTGATGGAAGAATATTGAGACTGAAAGTGAAAAATATCCTTCAACAAACATACATAGACATTTTGTGAAAACCCTTTGGCTTAGTTACCAATGTTTATATTAATGCAAATGTATTACAGTTATTCAATTGATTAAACATGTTAAAGTTTATACTTAAATTTGTCAAATTTATACATTCTTTAAAGAGAGGCAAGAAATATCTATAAACAAAATATAAATCAATAAAATGTATTTGCAATCATCTTGTCCTTCCGTTGGTCCAACAATTTTGCATATTTTTCTCAGAAACTTCAAAATAGTAACTTGCAAGCTTTTTTGCAAATCTATCAGATACCTACTCACTTCCTGTTAGCCGATATTTTGAATTTTCCAATATATTGAATGAACTTGAAAATTCCATCAATTTTTTCTCAGAAACTACCTACCAGAATTACTTCTTATGTGGTCAGATTAATTGTCATGTGTTTGAACAATTTGGTTCTGTCAGACACCTGCCTGATGTTTTTGAATACTTTAATTTTGGAGAGGATGCATGCTTGGCGCAACCAGAGACATTTAATACAAAAATTAAATATATGTCTCTGGCACAACATGTGCAGCTTGTTTATTTTTGGCCTAATAAATGTCCTACACTGTGGAAATAGCCCTAATAACATGATTTTTGTCTCGCCTTGACAGATTCAAAAAGCGAGTTGGAAACATAGATATATGCTGTATCCCTCAGCGGCAGCATCAACAATGTATTAGTTTGTGAATAGGTCAGTTTAAGGGGAACCACTAGTGGTAGGTTAATGCTATATGGTATGCAGTTGTAAAAGAATTGGCACATCTCATTTCCATAGAGATTATTTGGCCCCAATCCCTCAGTTATGGTCTATTGACTTTGAAACTTGCTTTCTTTACATAGATATAAGAAGATGTGGTATGAGTGCCAATGAGACAACTCTCCATCCAAGTCAAAAATTATAAAAGTAAACCATTATAGGTCAAATTATGGTCTTCAACACGGAGCCTTGGCTCACACCGAACAGCAAGCTATAAAGGGCCCCAAAAATTACTAGTGTAAAACCATTCAAACGGGAAAACCAACGGTCTAATCTATATAAAAAACGAGAAACACTTATGAACCACATCAGACAAACGACAACTACTGAACATCAGATTCCTGACAAATAGGTGCTGATTTGCTAAATAGGTGCTGATAGTGCAAACATGTATTAGTTTGTGATTAGTTCAGTTTATAGGGAACCACTAGTGGTAGGTCAATGATATTTGGTATGCAGTAGTATTAGCATTGGCACATCTCATTTATAAGGAGATTATTTGGCCCTGTCCCCTCAGTCATGGTCTATTGACTTTGAAACTTTTGCTAAGTTTACATGATAAAGTTTGTGATTAGGTCAGTTTATGGGGGACCACTTATTTTTATATTAAGTCAATGCTATTCAGTATGCAGTTGTATTGGCATCTGTAAGTCTCTTTTCCATGGCGATTATATAGCCCCAAACCCTCATCATGGTTCATTGACTTCTAAAATTTTACATTGTTTACAAGTAAAAGTTTGTGTTTTGGTTAGTGTTAATAAACACATCATAGATACAAGGATTGAATTTTGTACGCCAGACTTGCGTTTCGTTTACAAAAGACTCATCAGTGACTCTTGAATCAAAAAAGTTAGACCAAATAAAAAACGAAGTTGAAGAGCATTGAAGACCCAAAATGTCTTAAAGTTTTGCCTAATATAGCTAAGGTAATCTATTCCTGGGGTAGAAAATCCTTAGTATTTCGAATAATTCAAAGTTTTGTAAACAGATAATTTATAATTATGTCAGTTTTCCTACCGAAGGTCGGTGGTTCTCTCCGGGCACTTCGGCTTCCTCCACCAATAAAAACTGACCGCCATGAAATAGCACATTAGTGCTGAAAGTGGCATTAAACACCAATCAATTTATAATTATGACCATATCAATGATAATTCATGTCAACACAGAATAAAAGATACCACTTATGATAAGTCAATGGTACATGTATTTGGTATGCAGTTTTACAAGCATTGGCAGTTCTCATTTCCATGGAGGTTATTTGGTCCTGACATTAAGTCATGGTTCATTGACTTTGAATGTTTTCCATAGATTATATGTATAAATATTGCCATTTGGATTCAATATTTGCATTATAATACCAAACTACAAAAAGGCGAAACACATATCTCTGTCAACAGTTTATGAGAAAATAGTCCCAGAAAAAATGTTGGTTACAGAATGGTACTTTTTCCCCCCAAAAAAAGTAAAATAACAAAAATACTGAACTCCAAGGGAAATTCAAAACGGAAAGGCCTTTATGAAATGGCAAAATCAAAAGCTCAAACACATCTAACGAATGGAAAACAACTGACATATTCCTGACTTGGTACAGGCATTATCTTATTTAGAAAATGATGGATTAAACCTGGTTTTATAGCTATAGCTAGCTAAAACTCTCACTTGTATCACAGTCACATAGAATTCCATTATATTGACAACAATGTGTGAACAAAACAAATTGACGTAATAGGTAAAAATGTCAAAAATCAGGGTACAGCAGTCAACATTGTAATATAATCTTAATCACTATAAAAACAAATAACTGTTACAACAAAGAAACACAAAATGGTATATAGACGAAGAACATAAGCAAAAATGAAAGAGAAGAACTCAAAAATTGACCATAGCACAATAACACAATGGTGGGATGTATAAGTACCGATCCACGTCATAAGTATATAATCAAATATGGATAAACAGTAAAGGTGTAAAATATACAAGGACAAAAAAGGGAACTTTAACATGTAATTAAGATGATAAATAACGTCAGTACCTAAAATCTATACTTCAAGACCATCATGTATTATTTGTGAGGTTGATACGGAATATTTATCAACAAGGTCTTGGTATCTTCCAACGAACTTTTTTAGAAACAGGACAAAAGGTTCTTTGATATAACCAAGGGAGACAGTTGGGATCATCCATTATTAGCCAACTTAAAATGTTTCTCCTGTATTCAATGTGCTTTCATCTAACAACATAAACAATGGTGTCATTTTAAACAACAAGATTCTAATTGTGTTCTTTATTAAATTACAAAACTTGCATAGACATGATAATTAAAGGCATTCAATAAGTTATTTTTCGTTTCAAAACATTTTTCTCTCATCTAGAATGACATCACAAAAATTTATGAAATTACCAATCGCACAAATAACACAATTTGTTTTTACCTGTGTAAATTGGTTAAACATGATAAAAGCCATGTAAATTCATCATATTTTGATGCATTACTACTCTAGAGTCGTGAGAGTTTAAACTTTAGATTTTATTTGAGAATATGTTAACATTAGTTATCATACCCATGTATCAATATCTGAAATAATGCTTATGTACATGAACAAAGAAATGTGTGTTGCTGTAAGGCTAACTATAATAATAATAATAATAAATTCTTTATTTAAAGAGGGTAAACTCAGTTAGTTACAATAAACTAATTTCCCTGAGGCCCTCACATACAAATTACAATACAATCAAAATCAGATATTTACACATAGTTGATTTACAGTCAATTAGTTCAATGTAATATTACTAACATGATAAGATATAAGGCTGTTCAAGATGTACATGTAGTCAAAAAATCAAATATAAATAAAAATAAAAGAATATACAAATACATTGTAGAAAACATAATCTTATCAGGACTGTGTTAAGTACTTCTTGATACTTTGTTTAAAAGTATAAGTGTTTTGAGCTTTACACATTTTGTGTGGTAGTCCATTCCATAACACTGATCCAGAATAAATAAAAGATTTCTTAAAAAGCTCAGCTTTTGGCTTAGGAACTATCAGATTACCTTGAGTGACGCCTCTCAGGGAGTAAGGATTATTATCTGATTTCAGTTTAAACTTTTGAACTAGGTACATTGGTGCTTCCATACGCATACATTTATATAGAAGTAAATATTTGTGGTATTTTATTCTATTGTCAACTGTCATCCACCCAAGTTCTTTAAATAAGGGGGCTGAGGGGGATAAAGGAACTGCATCTAGAATTAATCTTGCTGCCCTTTTTTGGAGTTTTAAAATTCTTGCTATCCCTTCATTTTTACATTCACCCCAAATAATACAGCAGTAGTCAATCAGGGGCAGAATATACCCATTGTAATATGTTTTCCTTGCATTTATATCTAAAAATTTCTTTATTTTAGAAAGAAGGTATATTCTGGATGAAAACTGGGTTAAGTCTATGAAATCTGCATACATGATGTACAGACAGGGAGAATATGTATAAAAAAAAGTGACATTTTCAATGATGCAATAGTATATTATATACAGGATGTACCAGTATATTTTGTTTACATATTTATGTGTCAAATTGTGTCCAAAATGTAGGTGTAAATAAACATTACATGTCCAACATGGTGAAATGAATAAAAGCTATAATTTTTAAGAGTATGATTGTTGCTTGTAAATTGGTAAACCAAATAGTGGCTTTATGCTCTTGACCAGGTGTTTAAAAAACAGGTTAACAACCAGAAAAGAAACATGTTCATTAAACACTCGGGCAAAATACAATTAAGTTGGAGTGAACTGTGTTTATGTGTTCCTTTACTTTATTTTTCAGACTTGGAATGGAAAATAATTTATGTTGGCTCAGCAGAAAGTGTAGATCATGATCAAACATTAGATTCAGTATTGGTAGGACCTGTGCCTGGTGGAAAACATATGTTTGTTTTTCAGGTATGGTTATAAATAAATGTTTTGACTTTCTGTTTCAATATACATGATATATAAGAACTATTATAAGCCACGTTGTCTGTTTTTAAATTGTTGACAAAAGTGTTATTGTAAAGCAAAATTCTATCCAGATGATATTTCATCCGGATGAAAATTTATTACAGATTATATTGTTAATATTTTTTCCGGAGGAAATTATTTCACTGTGAAATGTTTATGGAAAAAATATCACAGAGGAAGAAATAAACTGTTACATTATTACCTAGAATAAAATTATATTGACTAATAATTAGTGTCCTTTTTTCATACTTTTGGTATCAAGGTTATCTAGAATCATATGTCATGCAATTCTAAAATAGGCATCATTGGTTAATATGTCATTTCCAGATGTTGATCTTTTTGACCATTTCAGTTGTTGGTCATATTTCATTTTTCAAGAAACCATGCATATAAAATGACCCAATTTTAGTTAAATACACAATGAATGTCAGAATATTTTATAAATTATGACATGATGTGGATTGGAAACTTGGTATTTCTGTAAAGGTAAATACTGGATTTTTAATTCTCATTTCAACTTCCTTAGTGTGATATCAAAGAATGGTGTGCCATAACTATTATATAGTAGTGAATACAATATATTAATTTCAAGGCTGATCAAGAGGTTGGCCTGGAATCTGATAAATCTCAAAGATTAGCCAACGAGTTTTTTTAATACCAGCATGGTGAAAGGAATGTAATCAAAGGAATATTTTATCCATCACCCCTTGTCTGTGAGAAACTAGAAATGAAAAAAAAAAGTTATTATATCAGAGTTTATGTTCATAGACATGTTATGTTTGAGTTCCTTAGCTTCCCAATTATAAACATTAGCAGATTTTGATGTGAATTATCTGCTGTAAAATATGAACTTTATCTGCATGTCACATTTGGTTAAAGTTGATGATCTTTATATATATCTAGAAATAAAGTACATTTTAATTGACAAGCAGTCAAGTCATGCACTCCTCCAACCTTGTTACTGATTTAATTTGGAACATAAAAAACAGTATAATTACTTCAGTTGTGAACTTAAAATGAAACTTCAATGTCTAAGTAAGGTATATTCTTAATTTCTTTTTAAAAACTGTAAAAAGCTCTATGATGTTTCAAATTGTAACTATAAATTGCATTTCCCAAAATATCACTGATGAAACCCTGAGTTAGATGCTTGTACATGTATATCACACAAGGAAGTGAGATTTGTTCTGAAACAAATGTTCAATAAAATGTTAGATGTTTTAGAGATATAATTATGGACTATTTTACTTTATCAAAATGGCATTATGCCCTGCTGTTTAATTGTTTTAATGACCACATGCTATGAAATGTACCTGTTAATTGTTTTAATGACCACATGCTATGAAATGTACCTGCATGTATTGTGATGTTACTTTTGATGTCACTTATTTTCTACATTTAAGGCAGGACCACCAGATATATCAAAAATACCATATAAAGATGCTGTAGGTGTAACTGTAGTATTGTTGACATGCTCCTATAGAAACAAAGAATTTATTAGAGTAGGATATTATGTAAACAATGAATATACCGATCCAGAATTGAGAGAAAATCCACCAGAAAATATCCAGTTTGAAAAAGTATGTGCAAGTATAAACAAAACTAAACTTTTTATAGCTTCTAACAGAAAATAGACATGTTTTAAATTGTAATGTGAAATTTTGTGGAAACATGGATTTAAGTAATGGCAGACAAATTTGTATACATGTTTAAATATGTCTATTGCCGTCAGACATTGCTGTTATTGTAAATAGATATATATATTTATTACATCGGTGATCCGTTTATTTGGCAATCGCCAATGGCAGTCAGCAGGGTTTAAGAACATTTGTTGTTCGACCTGTTAGTCAAATGCGTTTTGTTAAAATATACTTTTTCACTTTTTTTTGTCTTTTGGAAAATGTTGTTTGTGCTGTATTTAGACCCCTCTAACAAGAAATTTGTTTTGCAAATTTCTTGGTAGAGGGGTCTTAATACAGCACAAACAACATTTTCCAAAAGACCAAAAAGTGAAAAGTATATTTTAACAAGTATATCGCAAACATAAGGTGCAAAAATTTGTACACCATATCCGGATTTCGACAATTAATGTCTCTTCAGTGATGTTAGGGATCGAAACGGTATTTGGAAGGCCATATAATTTACCTCAATTTAGGATAGACTCTTGAATTTTAAAGAGTTAAAATAGGATGAACGGATCATATAAACCCGAAGGAAAATATAATACAAGCCCAAACGAAAAAATATAAACAAGTCTAAATTGAAAACAACGTTCAAACCTATGATTGCGTTGGATAAAAACCGCAATTTTTATACGTGTGCATGTAAAACAAATTTCTTGGTAGAGGGGTCTAAATACAGCACAAACAACATTTTCCAAAAGACCAAAAAGTGAAAAGTATATTTTAACAAAACGCATTTGACTAGCAGGTCGAACAACTGATGTTCTTAAACCCTGCTGACTGCCATTGGCGATTGCCAAATAAATTGATCACCAGATGTAACATGGATCTTAATTAAAAATTTAATACCAAACAGAAAACAATAAACTTGCGGAAAAGATGGTATATCGCAAACATAAGGTGCAAAAATTTGTATACCATATCCGGATTTCGACAATATATATATATATATATTGACAAAATATCTAATAAAAATTTTAACAAAAAGTAGTAAGAAGAATGAGTTGTAGACAAACTAGATCATTCTGTCATTGGCAAATGTGGCAATTAATGTTTTAGCAAATGTGGCAATTAATGTTTTATTGTCTTGCTTGTGACGAAAGTTGCGAAATGCAAGGTAAACAGATTGCAATCAGGCGACAGCATAAACTGTTTGTATTAAGCTTTATACATGTATTTATGGGGGGGGGGGGGGGGGGGGGGAGAAAACATGAATGCTACATTATGCCTCATATCTTGTATGCAGATATGTTATAATATGAAGGTTTTTGTCTGTCATATGACCATATATAACCATATTTTCATGATTCTGCAAGTGTTTTTATACGCCCGTTTACGGCAAGGTTGGGCGGTAAATACCGCCCCTGGTATTTACCGGGGGTATTTACCGCCCCGGACAATACTCCTCAAGTGGTCAATACTGGCAAATACTGGTCGATTGAAATTTTCATGGTGGTTTTTACTATTTATTGAAGTAAACAAAAGATAAAAAGTAAGATATATTTAAACTTTTATCTTTTAGCATGTTTCAGCTGATATAAATGAATGAATTTGATATGTTTTATTCATTTTCAACACACATACCTACTAATTTAGTCCTTATAAGTTATGATCTTGCATATTTTAGATATATATATAAAGAATTGACAAATTAATTATTACAACATTTTTCAATCAAGATATTTTTTATTGAAAATGCATAATTTTTACAGGTAAATGAAGTTACAGGTGTCTTATTAACTATCACCTGGCATTGCTAGGTGTGAAAATTTAATTACTATAAAAACAACAGCCCCCAATAAATGATGACAAAACATGGTTGAAAGTAATAAAATATTTGAAGACTCACTTAAACAATAAAATATTTCCTGTCTATTAAATGTGAGACAAAAATCATCTTTATGCAGGAAATGGAAGGTATGAAGGACCTTTACTCTTATGGCTGAACTGTAATTTATGTTTTAAACCAAAAATATATAATGTAGTATAAATTTAACCTTTACATAATCAATTTTTACATGATTTACATACACATAGTACAACCATCTTGACCTTAAGCACCAAACTGAAACCTGAAGACCTATTTGGAACTTCTATACAATATAAGACAACAACAAAACCAGTGCAAAATGTAATGATTGCAATGCTATAGTCAGTGCAAAAGCCACCTGATGAGTTTCCTTGCCAGGGACGAAACATTTTTATCTTATGTACTAATAAATCATTGTAAATCACTGTTTATTAAGAATTTACAATGAAATGTGAGAACATTTAGAATGACTTTAACACTTTCATTATTTCATTATTAAAAGTAATTGACCAGGTAGAGAGTGGTTTTTATAGTAATGTCCACTCAAAATTTCAATCGACCAGTATTTGCCAGTATTTACCGGTATTTACCGCCGGCATGGTCAATACTAGTATTGACCGCTTTTTTGCCAACCTTGGTTTACGGGACGTATTATGGTATACCATTGACCGTCTGTCCGTCCGTCGTCAACAAATGGGACATTAACTCAAAAAGGCTTTAACCAATATGCATGAAACTTTATTGAATTGTTTATATCTATTGACGTGAGCTCCCTTTTGTTTTTTATAAATTTCAGACTTGCTGTTTCCGAGTTTTGGGTTTTATTTATTTAAAAAGGGGGGATTTTCCAGTTTTCCGACAATAACTCAAGAATGCTTTCACCAACTTGCAAGAAATTTTGGTGAATTGTTTATAACTATTGACATGGGCTCCCTTTCGATTTTTATGAATTTTCCATTTTATGTTTCCGAGTTACAGGGTTTTATTCATAAAAAAAGGGGGATTTTCCAGTTTTCTGACAATAACTAAAAAATGCTTTCAGCAGTTCTCATGAAACTTTGGTGAATTGTTTATATCTTTTGATGTAAGCTCCCTTTAGAATTTTATAAATTTTAGATTTTACATTTCTGAGTTATAGGGTTTTATTCATTAAAAAAGGGGGGATTTTCCAGTTTTTCGACAATAACTCAAAAATGCTTTCATCAGTTCTCATGAAACTTTGGTGAATTATTTATAGCTATTGATGTAATCTCCCTATTGATTTTCATAAATTTCAAATATAACATTGAGAAAAAATTGAACTTTATTTGTTTATAGTCTGACAACAGATTTACTTTGTATTGCGCAACAGCACAGTGTATTGCACAACAGTAAGAAATCTTTAATTGAATATAAATTCAATTCATATAACCAATTTCAAGTTCTTTGACTACATTTATTCAGAAACCTTTAATATGTCAAATATTTAATTACAATCCAAATTCAGACCTGTATCAAGCTTGAATATTGTGTCCATTTTTGCCCCAACTGTTCAGGGTTGGACCTCTGCGGGCATATCCAGCTGCGCTTAGCGAAGCAGTTTATTATTATTGGAGTAAAAAACCACGGAAAATACACGACTGAATTCAATATAATAATAATGTTTATTCAGGTAAAGGCAATATATACATATACATAATCAAATTTGGAAAATTAGCTAAATATAACCTCAAGATACAGTAATGATTGTGACTTTAGGTTAACAATATTTGGTGTATGGAATGATTGTAAGGCATTCATGTCTGTCTGACAGGGTTCATCTGACCTTTATCTCATTTACATAGATCCTTAATCATTTTAACTCTACTATTTATTATTAAATGACAAACAAGACCAACACTTACAATAGAACTAAACTTTTTACTAGTTCAGAATTCCCTATAATCAAATTTAACTATGAGTCAATTCCCATTGTAATTTTCATCCATAAATAAGATATCTTACAAATGCTTTCATATATTTCTTTACATTTAGACTTATGTACTTTTGATGTTTTCAGCTAGAAAGAAGTATTTTAGCAACATCACCTAGGGTAACAAGATTTAAAATAGACTGGGATGACAATGCAGTAGAAAATGGAGAAAACGTTCCTCCAGTACAGAATATAGAAAGTGAATCAAATCAATTTCAGTCTCCGGCAGGTTTAATGAAGGATGTTCTGTCGAGTAAACCATCCCCCTCAGCATTTAATACTGACAGTATAAGTAACACTATGGGTACTGATATACCAATGGAATGAAAAACATATTAAATCAACTTATACAACTTCAAATGTCAAGTTTGGCAGCGAATGTGGAATTTTGATTATTGAAAACACGAAAGATGAGATGGACTTGCAAATGTGCAGCTATTTATATTTGTACCTCTGGTAATAGAATGTCTTGTGAGACATCGGATTAAAATGTTATTGAATAGTACATGTATGTACAGTGAATGAAAAAAGTATGAAATAATTTGTTTCAGTAGAAACAAGGTCACAAGTTACCTATGCTTACATGTAGTTGAATTAACATTCTAGTTATTCCAATATTGTGGTAAGGCTTATAACAGTTTTCTCTTTGACCTTAGTCATCATCCTTAAATTTTCTCATTTTTGTCGAGCCTGCGACTTTTGTCGCAAAAGTCAGACTTAGCGATCCTACATACCGGCGGCGGCGTCCACAAATATTCACTCTGTGGTTAAAGTTTTTGAAATTTTAATAACTTTCTTAAACTATGCTGGATTTGTACCAAACATGGACAGAAGCTTGTTTATGATCATAAGATAGTATCCAGAAGAAATTTTTGTAAAAAAAAAATCCTGTTTTTTCGTATTTTACTTATAAATGGACTTAGTTTTTCTGCCAGTTAACATTACCAGATTACATTCACTCTGTGGTTAAAGTTTTAAAAATTTTAATAACTTTCTTAAACTATCCTGGATTTGTACCAAACTTGGACAGAAGCTTGTTTATGATCATAAGATAGTATCCAGAAGAAATTTTTGTAAAAAAAAAATCCTGTTTTTTCGTATTTTAGTTATAAATGGACTTAGTTTTTCTGCCAGTTAACATTACCAGATTACATTCACTCTGTGGTTAAAGTTTTAAAAAATTTAATAACTTTCTTAAACTATCCTGTATTTGTACCAAACTTGGACAGAAGCTTGTTTATGATCAAAAGCTAGTATCTAGAAGAAAATTTTGTTAAAATTAATTTCCTGTTTTTCCGTATATAACTTATAAATGGACTTAGTTTTTCTTCCAGTTAACATTACATACAGTCTGTAGTTAAAGTTTTTAAAACATGTATTAGATTCATAAACCATTCTGGATTTTTTACCAAACTTGGACAGAAGCTTCTTACAATCAAAAGGTAGTATCTATAGGAAAATTTTTAATAATTTTTTCCCCATTTTTGTTGAGCCTGTGACTAGCAGCAAAAGTAGGCGAGACACTGGGTTTCGCGGAACCCTTACGAATTTTTATCTTCTCTAAAACCACTTATCCTATTTAATTGTCAAATTTTGAAATGTAATCTCTTCTGATACTACAAGGTGAACTATTTTGAAATTTATGGGGATTGATGCTTGGAAGAACCCTTATGTACAAATGATCCTCATTCTCATTTGCGGCACACATATTGCATAAAAGTCCTACAGAAAAATCACATTTTCACCTTTGTCTGAAACTACTCAGCCAACATTTGATGAGAAATTCATGCTCCTAAGGGCCTCATGTTATTCTATTTTGTAATTTCTCATACTAAAGGTAATTTGCAACTGCTTGCATACATTCATTGGAGGGGCTGTTCGTAGTAAATTTTTAGGTACTGACCTGCCTGGTATTCTTGAGAACCGTAAAAACAGAGTACCAGAGGGTCTTATGGACCGTTACAATTCTAACAAAAAATAGAATTTTACCTTTTCCTCTTTTAAACACATATCCTTAAAATTTGCAGCAATATCCAAATATTTTCCATTACACATTGATCATTCAACATTCAATCTATCTGAAATGTTTTGAATTATGCTAAACTTTCTCAATTTTATGGTTCAATTCTGGACACTTCAAAGTTGATGTCTGCCTTCCTTGATAGACTTAAATTATTAAAGATCTTAATAAAAAAAGTCTTGAAAATCATAAGATAAATGCTAGCTCTGCTTTTCCAGTTTTACAGTTCAGATAAATTAGTATATATATTTAGAGGGAACCAAAACAAATTATTAAAGAGGCCTTTGCATTTTGAGTTATGCTCTTAGTAATTTTTGTTACACTGGTAACATTTCTGTTTATGTATGTTCCAGTTGTTTTAAGTTTCACTATATGAAAAGTATTTGGCCTTTTTACACCAGCCCTCTTCAACATTCATTCTGATGTGATTGTGCATATTTTGTCCATCAAATTAACTTTTCGTTATCTTATAAAAAACTGTTATCAGAGATTTTTTCTTTGCTCATCATTTGTAAATTTTACATATACAAGCCAAACTGTATTGTTTTATTATATATCATAATGTTTAGAGCATGCTTGGAAGTAAACTTGCATAATTAGGAGTATATAAATAAATTTCCTTTATAAAGGTTTATTAAGATATGTGTATCATGTATATCAATAAGAAGCATGTCTTCTAGTGCTTTTTGTACATATTTCATTCTTTAATACAGAAGTAGTGCTTTCTTAATTATTATGTTGTATTGAAACATTACACTCAAACTCATTCAAGTGAATTAAATTTTCTTGCAATTTGTTGTTCCATTTGAATTTAAACATTTGTTATAAACTAATACAAATGTACATGTATCAATATGAATCGGGTAAATCAGCTTGTATTTTGTGAATTTTTGGGGATAGCCTGAGTGTCCCCTGAACAATTTTAGTTTCAACACATAATGTTTATTATATTAAAACAGATCTTTCGAAATAAAGCAAATAGTCAATTTGCCAATAAAAAGATGTGGTTTGGTAGCAATTGCATTGGAGTGTAACTGCACATCTCTTTTCAATCATATACGTAAACAAAGTGCTATGTAGAGTTTCTACTGATTTATTTGAATGGTTTTTTTTATACTTATAAAACAAGCATTTTTTTCACAAGTCAAAAGAAATTTAAAATTTCAGTTCAAACCTATTTTGAAATCTTATTATCGATCCATCATCATGATCATAATATTCCTTTTCAATGTAAAAGGTTGCTACAATATTCCCCATAGATGCATTGATAGCAATACCATTTCAAAAGCATTACATTTTACTGTAGGCACATATAGTGTTATTATTTGATGTGTTCTATAAAATATAGCATTGCTGTGATTAGTAAATAATAACTTTCTATTGATTTTCAGAGAAATAAATATCTGGGAGTCTGTGGTGGCATTTGCACAGAAACTTCTTTGGATGGTTGGGTTTAAAACATTTAGTATATTGTTTGTTTGTAGTGAGGTTCTGATAAAATGCCTGCAAAGACCATGTGTATTTTTTTCTGGAAAAGCCATCATGATAACTTCAACAATAAGCATGTATAACATATTTTTTCTGGAAAAGCCATCATGATAACTTCAACAATAAGCATGTATGACATATTTTTTCTGGAAAAGCCATCATGATAACTTCAACAATAAGCATGTATGACATATTTTTTCTGGAAAAGATAACTTCAACAATAAGCATGTATGACATATTTTTTCAACTTTGTTCAAGATTACTACCTCTTATATTACTCAAATCATATTGTTTTGAAAATGATGATTTTTGTTTTTCATAGAAATTAAAGAAGTATGAACCAATTTTGTTTGATGTACATTCAATTGTGTCAAGTTTGAGAACACTATTTTTACTATTATAATGTGTACAACACTTACAGGGGTCACTGATAATTGATTTATATGAGAGAAAAATGTGTTTATTGTGAAATATACTAGGGTAGTTGAAATGAAAAAAGGGTTTATGAAGTTGCTTCTTTATTAACAAAATACTTTCCCAGAGTAAATTGTACAACCCCAAAAGTGAGCAACCCTATTGGTTATGATATTATCTTATTTTAATGATTACAGATATTCCAATTTAAAGAACATATCCCTTGGAATAGATTTAATTATATACCAGTAGATATAACATTACTAAAGAAAACTATATAGGGCAAGGTTAACAGATAGAAGTGATTTAATTTGATTGTATTATATGCCCTGCCCACATTTGTTTGATTTCCATGTATATGTTAGTTTTCTTCCCCTTTTACTCTTGTTACAGGGTCTGTTCCTAATACAGTATTCATAATTCATTTTTGATACATATTCATCTTTTAAAAATCTTCTGAAACCTATATATTGGTATCCCACCTTCACATCATTGTTATGAGTTACCGTACTCTGGTTTATGTTTGCATTTAGACACAGATGTATGACTTCTGAACATCTATAATATAATTTATATGTTTTGACATCATGAAAAATAAAAAAAGTTTTACAATTAAATCTGTTGTAGGTTTATTTATTGTCAAATATTTACAGTTGGTGTACAATTCATACAGATGCTGATCTATTATTGGATGCATGACAAATACCTTATGTTTCCAATTTAATTTTAATCAACTAAGAACTGAATTATCTCCCATCAAAATGATATCACAGACTGAGAGGTATGAAAACAAAGTGGCAACAGCCAGGTTAGAAGTCAATGAATGAGGAGGAAACACAGCTGAGAAAATCATGTTCCTAGGATAGCCCTCATAAATGGCCCTTTTCAGGGCCATCAATATTATGCATAAATCGTAACATTTGAGAAATTCTAAGACTCAAAATAATTCTCTGATGTATTAAAGTGTTTTGTCAATCTTTTACTACAGTAAGGCATGTGCTTCTTAAACATGTATCTTCAATGGTTTGAAAAACCTTTGTACTGTTAGTTTGGTACAATAAAACAATTATGACCCCTTTGAAGTGCTGGTCCCTTTGGACCAGGTGAGCTATAACCAATGCTTGACGTCAGTCATCATTGTTAACTTTTTACAAAGATCTTCTCTGAAACAAAATTTGATTTGAATGATTCTTATGGTATTGTGTATAAAGTCCATATTTTTTTATTTCAGTCGTTCAACAAACATGGTCACCATAGCTAAAAATATAACAGGACCTACATACAGTTTTGGGCCAATATCTCAAAAACTAAAGCAATTAGAGCAAAACTGACATGGATATAAATGATCAGCTGGTAAAGATCTTTTGGGAACGAAATTTTCAGACAAATCGGACAACCCAATTTGGAGTTGTTGCCCCTGAAATAATAATTTTGATGAAACCTCTCAGTTTTTTTGGTTATTGTCTTAAAAAACTATTACAGATAAAAAGAGGGATTTTAAACGACAAAAAGGTTCTGCAACGTAAGCTCTACAAATAAATTTTTTTTTTTTTTTTTTCCCCAACAATTAAAGCATATACATGACATACATACAATATGATACATGCAAGATATATACAATGTCATTATTATAAATACATTATAATTGGAAATATTTGACATTTTATATAGAACAGATCTATAGAAAAAGTTAAAAAAAATACGCAAATAAATAAATAAATAATAATAACAGATAGTATAGGAGTGGAAAATGAAGAAGAAAAAAAAAGAAAAAAGTAATTTACCCAGTTAATCCCTATCTATATTTTTTTTTAATTTTTAAATGAAACATATTCATGATGAATAATATTTGAAAAAATAACTATACATATTTCTTTTGTAACAGCCAGCAACAGATCAAGAACATAACATGACAATAATATATTGTATAAAATAAATTATTGTTAAATAGTCATTAGTAAAATAACAAAAATAGTCATTAGCATGTTTTAAATAACAGGTTTTCAAAAACTGTCCATACATGGTCAAATTCAGTTATTTTTTTAATTTTTACAGCTATCATACTCTCTAATTTATACATATCTTTCAGCTTTATTTTAATTGCTTGCAATGAGAGATTCTTTTTAAAGCATCTAGAATTATACATATATTGTTTAAAGAAAAATTCCGCGGAACCCAGTGTCTCACCTACTTTTGCTGTTAATCGCAGGCTCAACAAAAATGAGGAAAAAAATTAATAAAATTATTCCTCTCTATACTATCTTTTGATTATAAGTAGCTTCTGTCCAAGTTTGGTAAAAATCCAGGATAGTGTATGAATATATTTAATAAATGTTTTAAAAACTTAAACTGCAGACAGTATGTAATGTTAACTGGAAGAAAAACTAAGTCCATTTATAAGTAAAATACGGAAAAAATGGAATTTTTTTTTTACAAAATATACTTTTGAATATTATCTTATGGTCATAAACAAGCTTCTGTCCAAGTTTGGTAGAAATCCAGGATAGTTTAAGAAAGTTATTAAAATTTCAAAAACTTTAACCACAAAGTAAATATTTGAGGACGACGCCGATGGAATGTATGATCGCTATGTCTCGCTTTTTCATCAGAAGTCGAAGGCTCGACAAAAATCATGTTGTATGGGTTGTTGGGGAATATCTTGGATAAGTCTCCAAAAAGAAAGTTTAATTTATTAATTGAGAGACTTATTCCACAGGAAAGGAACCAGTTATCAATATCATGTAGAAAATTTTGTACGGTAATGCAATTCCTAAATAGATCTTCTATAGACTCATTTTCTGTTTGACAAAATGTACATAAAGGATCATCAATAAATTTTATATTAACAAGATACTGATTTGTTGCAATAATGCAATGGTTAGGGAGCTACCATTTGATTTTTATGGGGGGCTAGGATGAAATTTGAAAAAAATAGGCAGGAGTTTTGAGTAAAAAAAAGGCAGGATGAGACACTTGCAAAAAAAAAAGTCAGGATAAACTTTATAAAAAAAAAAGGCAGGACCGAATAGAGTGAAAAATAAAAAGGCAGGACAGAGATTACAACTAAAAAAAAAAAGGCAGCACAAAATTTTTCATCCTAGCCCCCATAAAAATCAAATGGTAGCTCCCTTAATCCTGTATTGCAACCACTGTAATTTACTATTTTTAGTAACAGCAAAAGGCAGTCTGAAAATATTTTTCCAGTTCAGATTCTGTTCTAAAATTTTAACCCACTTTAACTGTCCAGTAGGAATAACATTGTTTCTAGACAGTACAGAATACATATCTTTTGATCCTTTACAGTGTTTGAAAAATACTTGTAGACATGATGGTATAAAAGGACAAAATAATTTGTAAGATCCTTTAGTGAAAGATTTTGATGCCTCTTTCACTGCCTAAATGACACTGTTAAATTTTAGAAAATCTGTGTTAATGTTATAGTTTTGCTTAAATTGGTCAAATGCAATATAAGATCCATTTTGGTCTATTAGATCATTTACAAATCTTATACCACTTTTGAACCATTCTTGATAAAATAATGATTTATGGCCAATCTTAATGCTATTATTAAGCCACAGAGGATTTGATAAAAATGATCTACCAATAAGTTGATAGATTCATTTAAGGAGTCGTTGCCTTTAAAAGAATATTTTTGTCGAGCCTTCGACTTTTGTCGAAAAAGCGAGACATAGCGATCCTACATTCCGTCGGCGGCGGCGTCGTCGTCGTCGTCGTCGTCGGCGGCGTCCACAAATATTCACTCTGTGGTTAAAGTTTTTGAAATTTTAATAACTTTCTTAAACTATCCTGGATTTCTATTAAACTTGGACAGAAGCTTGTTTACGATCATAAGATAGTATCCAGGAGTAAATTTTGTAAAAAAAAAAAATCCTGTTTTTCCGTATTTTTACTTATAAATGGACTTAGTTTTTCTGCCAGGAAACATTACATTCACTCTGTGGTTAAAGTTTTTGAAATTTTAATAACTTTCTTAAACTATCCTGGATTTCTACCAAACTTGGACAGAAGCTTGTTTATGATCATAAGATAGTATCCAGAAGTAAATTTTGTAAAAAAAAATCCTGTTTTTCCGTATTTTACTTATAAATAGACTTAGTTTTTCTGTAAGGAAACATTACATTCACTCTGTGGTTAAAGTTTTTAAAATTTTAATAACTTTCTTAAACTATCCTGGATTTGTACCAAACATGGACAGAAGTTTGTTTATGATCAAAAGCTAGTATCGAGAAGAAAATTTTTAATAAAATTTTGTACTTGTTTATCCATATTTTACTTATAAATGGAGTTTTTCTTCCAGTTAACATTACATACAGTCTGTAGTTAAATTTTTTAAAACATTTATTAGATTCATAAACTATCCTGGATTTTTACCAAACTTGGACAGAAGCTTCTAACAATAAAAAAATTGTATCGAGAGGAATATTTTTATTAAATTTTTTCCTCATCTCATTTTTGTTGAGCCTGCGATTAACAGCAACATTAGGCGAGACACTGGGTTCCGTGGAACCCTTACGAATTTTTCTGAAATTTTTATGTTTTTTCAGAAACTATGATATATAGACAGAAACTTCTGGTTAGCAAAAATGTTCAGCAAAGTAAGATCTACAAATAAGTCAACTTGACCGAAATTGTCAATTAAACCGTGGTTGGAGTTATTACCCTTGAGAGACCATTCTTTTTCATTTTAATGCCCCTGCCGTAGTGGAGGGGGGCATTAAGTTTTACCCTTGTCTGTCCGTCCGTAGGTACGTCCCAAAATTGGTTTCCGTTCTCTAACTTTAGTTTGCCTCAACCAAATGTTGTGAATCTTATACACAATGCTTATTACCCCAAACACAGATCCAGTTTGAATATGGGTAGCGTCACTTTTACCATTCTAGAGTATGCCCCTTTACAAATGGAAAAATTGCTGAATTTTTGGTTTCCATTCTCTAACTTTTAGTTTGCCTCAAACAAATGTTATGAAACTTATGTGCAATGCTTATTACCACAAAACGCAGATCAAATTTGAATTTTGGTGACCTCACTTTTACCGTTTTAGAGTTATGCTCCTTTACAAATGGAAAAATTGCCGATTTTTTTGTTTTTGTTCTCTAACTTAAGTTTGCCTCCAACAAATGTTATGAAACTTATACACAATGCTTATTACCACAAAACTCAGATCAAGTACAAATTTTGGTAGTGTCACTTTTCCTGTTCTTGAGTTATGTCCCTTTATAACATTGTATGCAAGCGGGGCATCATCTGTGTCCTATGGACACATTCCCCATTTATTTTGCAGACCCTAGGATAAAAAGAGAAACTTCAAACAGCAAAAATGTTCAAAGTAAGACCAAATAAGTCAGCATGACCGAAATCGTCAATATATCCTTTAGGAGATGTTGCCCTTGAAAGATGGTTTTTACTAATTTATCAGAAGTTGAAAAGCGAGACTTGGTGTGCCCTTCAGGCATGGTCTATTGACTCAAATTTTTGGCTAGTTTATATGTATAAGTTTGTGATTAGGTCAGTTTAAGAAAAATCATTAGTGGTAGGTCAATTATATTTGGTATACTAATTTATTGGTACATCTCATTTCCATTGAGATTATTTGACT